AGTGGCTCCCCAAGAAGCAGAGTTGTTCTAATTGTGTGACTGCCCATTCTTATTCAGGTCACCTTGTACATCCCCATCTCTTCTTCAGTGTTCTTACTCCCTGAGTCTATTATGGATTGAAGATGCTGGGCTGCTATTTTCAGAGATTCAGGTCTGGTTAAGGTGGAAATGGATTATTGATTAGTGTGCTAGTGTAGGACTGGGTTCAACACCCGCTCAGGTACAAACTCTGTGCATGACTTCAACATGTCACCTTGGAGCTGAATTTACTATTATATTTAGATAGAGCTTAGGCACCTATATCCCAAAATGAGATCCTCAAAGCTCTTCCTAACGTTAGACCTCTGCTTTGTGCCACTTTCTTGATCCACCTGAAATCCTGCTGTGGCCACATCCAGAATCACCTTGGTCTCTTCTCCACTGATGAGCCATTCACCTTCCCAGTTCCTTCTGCTGTGTGCATAGCGGGTGCTGCCCAGCCTGTGCTCCCCCATTAGATGTGCATCAGCAGCTTGGACAAGGCAATACCCTTCCTCTACACTCCTATGTGACTGCTGAGTAGCTGATGCAGTGTTAGGGCAGTGCGTTTGAGACTCCTTCGCTTCCCTGCACAGCTTCTGCAGTAGCAGAGAGCTGTATTTGTAGCCCAGGTAGATGAGCAGAATTACCTGTGTCTTCAGAGCTCTGAAAAGAGAAAGTTAAGGTGTAAACCTATTTAATTTGTTAGTGAATTACGTTCCCAGGAGTTAATTATCTGCACACCAATGCTACCTCATGTGGCAAAGAGCAGGTGCTCTGCGGTTGTATGTCTATGGCCCTGAATGTGTGTGCATATCCATGCGTGTGCTTGTGGCATGTAGGAAAACACCCAGTGGTATCCAAGTCAGTGTGCTCCTGCAGCTGGAACTTGAGTTCTCTCTAGCTACCTACACTTAATTTCTGTGTAACATGGTGTCATGGGGAGGAACTCATTGTAGGAGATGGGGCTGGTAGTTACTCACACTTAATGCACATTAACAGAGGATGCAACACAGGTATGCTTTCCTAACAGGGCGGTGGTTTGTATATTAAGACATTTGACAACATTTTCCTGAATAGATATTATAAATGCTATTTAAAAAAAAAAAAAAAAAAAAAAAAAAAAAAGATAAAGAATGGATGTTCTTGGAAGCTGGTATTACTTATTGGTCCCATACCTCTTAATTAATTTTTATTTAGTTATAAAAGGAAATATTAAACATCATTTGCTCTTAATATAAAAAGGGAGATTGCCACTGATAAGCATGCTTAAAATAAGGATGACAATGGTTATTTTTATTCCCTAATTATAATAACAGACTATGAGACAACAACGAATGCAACCAGTTCAGCTGAAGGCTGAATCATAGCAACGGCATCAATTGATTTGTTTCCAGGTCTAAAAAAACTAATAAAGACTTTATGTAATCTCCTAGATACAAAAGGCCTAAGATTAATGCCTTAAATCTGCTCCTTATGCTCAAATACTCTCTTTACAGACAGATGCCTGCTACTACCTTTTTCATGTGAATTCTATTTGTAAAAGTGATACTGGATTAAGATAGCTGGAAAAAAAGGCACATTCCTTCTTACTGTACTTAAGAGAAGCTATTAGCTGTTCTGTACTGCACCAAATCATATCATTTACTTACAGTTCAGTCACAATAGTGCATTCACGTGGGCATTACAGTGTTTATCATTACTGTACTGTTTCTTTATGTTCTTTCTAGTGAAGCTAATGTGCTAACCTAGGAAGTACGGCATAGTAGGAAGTCTAAAACCAAGCTCCTTCTATTACTGACATAACTTCAAGTAAACAAATCTTTTACTGCATTCAACCTCTTTGCAGAATGAGGGACTATGTTTCATCCTTGTAAGTTGTTGCTTGGAAGCGGTCAAAATAAAAAAGTGGATTTTCTTCATTAATGGCTTTTTAAAAGTATAGTGTACATGTGTTCCATGGCCCAGATCCCGAGAAATTACATAGGCTTATGATTCACCATATATATATATATATATATATATATATACATATATATTAATCCTGGAATGCTTTGCACATGGTGTTCTAAACAATTGTGGCTTGTGGAAAACTGATCAGTGAAAGTGTTTTGAAGTGTAAAGCCTCATGTTGTCCTCACTTAAAGCTTAACCTTCACAAATCTGAAATGTAGTATATTCGTTTTGCAATGCAAAGAATTGAGCATGTGTGTGATCAGAGTTTTTGCAAATATACTGCCTGTTGCTCTGAGCACAGGTAGAACACTTCCTTTTGTTTCAGCCAAATAATTCCCTGCTTCCTTCCCACAAATAGTAAGATACTCTTAGGTTCTCTCTGCCCTGCTATCTGTAAGCAACTCACACCAGAATTCAACTACACTGCCATGAAGCTATCGCTTGCAATGTATGGGGAATATATTCATCCATTTATGACCCATCTTTCATAGACTGTTTCTGAGGGAGTGAAACTATATTAGCATTTTGTAGGTTTAATAGCAGACCTTTTGATCTGTTAGTGAAGATTATCTTGCTTGGTATGAAGTTGTGCATGCTTGTGTGCATTATGGAACTGTGGAAAAGTGGGTTATTATGAAAGAACACTTCACAATTTGTGACAGTAGAGCTGTATTTCTGATGAATGGAGTTGAGTAAACACTGAATTTTAGATGGAACCGGTGTCATTAGATGATTTCGTTAGCTTTAAAAAAGACACAGTGCCAGCCAGCTTCTGCTATCTTTGAATCCTGTGAGCTTTCCCAAAACACAGGCCCATGGAGTACATGTACATTATGCTCTGAAGCAGTCTGTGTATTTGCCATTACTTTAATCAAAACTCTCTGCTTGACTGTATTAATTCATGTGAATTTAATGTACATGCTGAGGAGATCAGAACTTTCCAGTGTTTTTCAGCTGTCTCTGCTGTGAATGCAATGTGTTTCAGAAAGTGGTTGCACTGGTCTTTAGGACATCAGGAACTTTCTACAATCTGTCTTGAAATTAAAGAAATACATGGTACATGTAATTACTTTTAGACATTAAGTCAGTGTAACAACTATATGAATCAATGTTCATTACCTTACTACAGGCATAGCACAGGACAAGTGCATTTTACATGCAGTCACCTTGGAATAAAATGGAATCAAGACAAATATTTACAAATGATGAAGTAGTATTTGCCCACTGGCTGCCAACAGGGAGACTTTGTATTACTATAGTCTGGATAAGGGACACAGTAATTCATGAGGTAAAATTATTATATTCAAGGGACAAATATTTATCTGGGACTTTAAGGGCGTAACTTAGCCTTGTTTTTAAGAGTTAAAGTGCAAGTTTCATGTTCTATATGTCATCATAGCTTTTGACGGATAAAATCTATGTTTCTACTGCCAGAGGTTGCATCTTGAGCCTAATAAAATTAGGCTGTGTTTGCACTTGTGTTATTCTATAAAAAAATACTTATTCATATTATTATTATTCTGATGGCATCATGTTTAACATAACCCATCATATTTTGCCAATAGGTAGAAAAAAATGTGCAGTGATATATTTTCTGTGTACTATGACTAAATTATTTTAATATTATGGCTGGTGATCTGTATTACTGTTACAGTTGAACAAATTATTTTCTATCATATGGGATGAATACTATAGCACTATTTAACTGAGCATTTTTTGTAATTGGGTGGTAAATTCTCATCAGTTTAAGTTCTAACAAAAAAAATATCTGGAACGCAGTTTCATCCCAGGTTTCCATCATATAATTTCTGTACTGCTACTGGGTTTCATGTTTACTAAGCAGTTACTGGAAGGACAACAAAACAGTTCTGACTAAAGCCTAATGAGCATTATATCTGGCAGGAAAAGGCATTATACAAAAATATAAATCTCAGGCTTATTTTACTTATGACTTCCTGAGTTCCAAGAAGTGACTTCGTAAAGCAAACTGACAAAGTGAGGGAAGGTCATAAAAGCTGTGTGGATGTTGATACTTATAAAATGTAAACCCAGAGTACCCATGATGCTAAGCAACAAAAAATTGGATTGAAATGAATACTAGTCTGAAAATTGAGCCAGTATTTAATGAATTAGAAGTTTGAAGATAATGGCCTCTAAAAGAAATGTCAGGTGATCTTGCGAGAAGACACATAGGATAAAGTAAAAGAAACCCTTAAAGGTTTCTTTTACACCCTTAGGAGGCAATGTCCTACTTTACAATAAGCTCTCTTAGACTGTCATGTTTCATATGTGTGTGTACACTGCATTTGCAAACAGCAAACCTACAGTGCAGACCCTGATTGCTGTCACAATATCATTACCAACAGCTTTTGATGATTACATTTATGACATACAACAACATGTCAGGTAGGTAACATATACTGCTATTGCACTCTTCACTTGTGTGTGGAAATGTAATAAACATAACCTGGTTACAGCACATCCTATGGTCATCTCTTACTTTCTGTCAAGGCAGGTAACCCAGGTCAGAGAAATTTATCAGTTCTTTTAACCCAGTAAAAGCACCTCTGAGGTTCAATAAAATTTTTATAAATGTCCCACATCAATTTTCGTCTCTGCAGCCTCGATTACTTTCTGGTTGGGTTTCTGGTCAAGTTTCTGGTCAGGGTTCAAGACGGTATGCCACGTAGAACAAAGTTTCCTGTGTACTCTGGGAAGTCTGTGAGGAGGACCTGAGTCCTGGCATCAGAATATTCCAGTGTCCTACACTGAATTTTTGATACTTAGTCTGTCCTCTCCTCCTTGGTTGGCTGTGCTGCACCATTGTCTGTCCTGAGGAATAATGCATCAAGACATTAATCCTTCACATATCATTGGCTCTTATCATACAGTTAAATTGTTTTCTCTTGATAAACATGAGTTAAGAACTAAATCTTATGTACTTCATGCCATTTTACAGAAGCAGGCAGAGAGAAGTAAAGTAACACAGGCATTATTTTATTTATTAGACTCCCTACAGTGTGCCACATATCATAGCAATAAGCAGTTTTCTTGCTGAAAACATTACTATCTTTATATAACATGTCGCAAGAAGCAGGACTATAAAAAGCTTTAAAAAAAAAAAAAAGCTGGCTAAGGTTTTAGAATTGTACGAATTTGCACAACTGCTGCATATTTCCCGATTGTTGCTTTTGTAACCCAGTAGCAGAACTTTGCAAAGAGCAGACTCAAAAGCATCACTGTGTACAATGAACACAAAAATGCTTGATCCTTCTTAGATATGAACCTTACTTGTTATTTAACAATTAATAAGATGTAAGTAAACTATTTTGGTTCTGTTACTCTCTGCTGGGGCCAAAGAGACATAGTCCTCCTTGGTTGCATTAAAGCCTCAAAGCAACAACAAAAATGGCTCTTTCAACCATACAGGTATATTTGTATCCAGCCTTGTGCTTTTGCCTTCAAAGAGAGCAGGGAACAGTTGCTACAGCAGTTCTTAAAAACTAGCAGCATAATATCCTCTACTGCGTTTGTGCACAGCTGCATAAGCCTTGATGTCCACACAGAATGAAGAAGTGATGATAAAAGCACCTCTCCTGTTACGGATATTTGTGCCAGCAGGATAACTAGTGTATAAATAAAGATTAGGGATTACACATGGCATAGATATTTAATCCTTTAGAATTTAGATTTTTTTTTCCTGGATTTACTCTAAAGTTTATTTAGCTACCTAGGGAATTTTAGAGGTTGAAAACCATGTACCTCAGGATGATATGTAAGTAGATGGATAGGCAGCAGCTGGTTGGGAATTTCAAGGATTTGCATTTTTGCAGTTAGATATATGGGTGTGGTTTGGGGGGTTTTAGTGTTTAGATCCTTTAGTTTATCCAGTCCAAAGTCTGTTAGCAATAAACAGTACTTCAAACACGACACTTCTCTTAATCACTAGAGGAAGATACATCCGTTTGTGTCTGTCTGGGTTACTGTAAAGTTGGATTTGCTTGTTTTACATATTTACTTGTGGTCATGGATACTAACAGCCACATGAAATACAGTTAAACAAAGAGTCAGACCCCACTGATATTTCTACCCTTTGCAGGAAGAACTGGGACCAGATGCACAGTGCCAATGCACAGCTCTAGTGCAGGCCTCTGCTGACATACTGTAAGTGCTCTATCAAAAAGTTTTCACTTAGAACTAATGAAAAGACATGTTCATGGAAGTACAAATTCTAAAGGTATTTGTGTTTCCATTGAAGATACTGGTGATGGAAAAGTTGTATACTTATCATAACCAGATCATAAGATCATAAATCAGATAATCTTCTATGTTCATGTTTAGCAGAGTATTCTTACAGTAGCTTGAAACAAATCTTAGTTAATTAAATGTTGGAATTATAACAAGTGCAGGATACAGGCAAAATTATTCAAGGCTAATTGCATGAAATTGATCCTAAATACAAAAACAGTACAAAGTTTAAGCAGTATTTAAGGCTTCAAATAATAGAACAAAGTTTTGGTATAAATCAAGTTGTTGAGGAGTTACTGTATTTTGTACTACTCAGTATCACATGGTTGTATCAGCTCTGGTTTCAGCTACAATAGCAAATTTGACACTGCATATGAGATAAAATGAGAGTCCTCTTGTTCTGTTTCTAAGACACTCAATGTCCAGTCTAGTAATGACACTGCATACAAATCAAGAGAAAAAAACTCATCATACTGTGGCAATTAACAAAGTAAAAAAGTAAGCAGAGGTCCATTTGAAAGAAGCAAAAATGTCTTGCCAAATAACTGAGGAAGATACAAAAGGAAATCACATGTGAACTCTTACTGAGATACACAAGAATTAGAAAGGTGGCTGCATCAAAACAGCTTCTGCCTTAAGACTCTGCACACAAGAATTCAAGTCGAAACTTAAAGTTTTACCACGGATTTCTGTTCATCCAACTCATGGCAAGGCATTAACTCCCATTTCTGCCAGATGAAGATATGATCTCACACTTGTTGACAGCTTTTGCTACCTTATAGCATAAGGTTTTGCTCTTGTCTTTAGATACTCTATCCAATCTCCGTATTGCCTGTCAGACCACAGCATAGGAAGAATTTTTTCCTCGCCTAACTATTTACTGACTTGTCTCGTCAGAGAGCTTCCAGCTATGTGATTTCTAGCTGTCTGCATAACTATACATTGGATAGCTTCAACTCAATGCAAACCCACTGACTATGACAAGTAATGACTCCTTATCATAGCATAATTCAGGTTGAAAATTACCTCTGGTGGTCACCCAGTCCAGTTTTCTGCTAAAGTTAGTTTAACAACCTAGGACAGAATATACTGTCGTATCTCTTTAGCACTGATCTGGTTGTTCTCTTTTTTACACTTGTTGCCTTTTGTTTTTTTAATCCATTCCTCAATACAGACTTCTTAGGCATACCTACTTCTCAGTTTCTCAGTAGTCACGGAGCAACGTCTCTGGCTCTAGCGGTTAAAATGAGTTTATGGTTTGTAGGTTTCGTGGACAAAGACTAAAAATGCCACAGATGTGAAAAAACATGACCCTCACTGTAGTAGAGCAAATGACAATACTATTTACATGAAGCTTGGCTTCAACCTGACCTGTATATTTTCATTGACCTTCTACTGGTTAGTTGAAATTTCAGCTCCATCTCTGTTGCTGATGCCAATGAGTGGGACCGGTATCTGACAGCTGGTTTTCTTTTATAATGGAAAACTGAAAAGCCATGCACATGCTTATTTCATTGGAAACATACCCACTCTCAAAAGAAATGGTTTCCACAACATGTTTTTTTGCCCCTTCTGACCTTGTGAATGAGATACTTTGCAATTAAAGTACCAAGGAACTGCTGAAGCAGAAGTGACATCTTGCTAGCAAGACCTGGAACAGCTCCATCAATCCAGCCACCTAGTACCATTGTGGTATGCAGTTTTAGCATTGCAGAGCTTTGTGACTGACAGCAGCAGGAATTGCAAAGTCAACCAGACTTGTTTCCATGTAGATCTACAACTGTTTTTCATTTCCTTAAAAATAGTGCTCCGCTTCACCTCAATGTGCTTTACGAGTTTCATTCACTGAGCAACATTTTCATTTGCCACCATCCCTCAATAAGTAACTGTCTTCTTTACATACCAAATTCTGTGTCCCTACTTGCAGAAGCAATGGCTATTCCCAAGCCTATATGACAGAGAGAGAAGTTCCATACAAACATCCAGTTGTTTGTTGTGAACTAGATCTGCTGAAAGATTACTGTGACCTAATGGTCTATAAAAGTTGGTAAAGCACAAGAATTTATATATTTACATATCTGTTCCACTGGTGTGTCAGCTGTGCATAAAAAAATCTTGCTAATACTGAAAAACAGACAGTCTTGTCTAATACAAATTTTGGCAGTGCTGAAACTGGAAGTCTGGGTTTCTACTGCAGTCATGGTAGAGGTGTGAGCTTGGCTGATCAACTCCATGTCAGTCTGTGTGCAGCCACAGCTTAGTTACTGATCTGTTAGAGCAGCCACATATCCATCAGCCCAGTCTTAATGTCTATACCCTCTGAATGACATGAACAACTTGTGTACTGTAGGAGTTACTGTATACATTGACAATCTTCCTTTGCCTGCTCTTCCAAAAATCAAGCAGTAATGAGTTTCTGTTCACATCCCAGCTATGGCATCACCAGTTGCTTTTTATATCTACAGGTAATAATTGACGTCTAGTGCATCCCTAGGAAATGCTGTCTACTAACTAGATAGAATTATGTCTGCAGTTCAACATCAGTGAGCCTTTGGAAATTTCAGTCTGCATCGTGGATAAAGGCAAATGATCATATTCTTCCATTGATGCATTTACTGAATTATGCTGGCAGCTCAGAATCAGTGACTTTACTTCTTTTTTGAAGTTGCTGTTTAGGAAACCATAGATAACAGGGTTGACACAGGTGGAAGCCATAGCTACCAGGTGGCACAATGAGAAGATTAGATTGTGGTAGCAAGGTGAAATGATTTTGTAATTCCAGTCAACAATGGTGTTGAAGACATGCAGTGGTAGCCAGCAAACAGCAAAAGCAGCAACCATGCATGCTAACAAAATATTTATCCTTCGCAGCTGAACTGCTCGGTTGCTATATTCACTCTTCTCAAACATGTCCTTTCTCTTCTGTAGACGTAAGTAGATACGCAGGTAGCAAAGTATAATGAAGAACAGTGGGATGCAATATTGCAAGAGCAGTAAAGTGGTAGTGTAGATAAGTCGGTGTTGCTCAGAAGGCCACGAGTCGATGCATATGGCCTTGTCAGTGGAAAAATTCATGATGTGTGAGAGCTGCTTGTACAAATCATTAGACAAGATGGATGTGGTCAAAAAGGGTAGGGACATGAGACATGCTAAAGTCCAAATCACTCCAATTCCTAGATAGGCTTGGGAGATACTTGGTCTCCAGCCAGTCGGGTTTATGATGAGCTGGTGTCTTTCCAGAGCAATAAGGACAAGGGAAAGAATTGACACTGTCACAGATGTGCACTGAGTGAAAGAGGTCATTTTGCACATGACTTCCCCAAATATCCAGTAGTCCATCATGGTGTAAACAATGGTGAAAGGCAGACAGACAAGACACATAAACAAATCTGAAATTATTAAGTTGGAAATTAGAATGTTGGTGACATTGGCCTTTTCCTTCTGCTTGGCAATGACAGCAATCAGACAGATGTTTCCCACAATGCCTAGGACAGTCTCCAAGCTGTAAGAGGTGGCCAGAAAGACAGTAAGGTCAGTGATGTTCCTGCACTGATTAGAAATCTGCACAGGGAAGCTTCGGTTTGAGCTCCAGTTCTTACTGTTCAGGAAAGGAAAGCCATCATTAACAGCCTTTGTCTTATTCATCCTGAACTCCAAAATATTTATCCAAAAAGGTGATAGTCAAACAGAACCTGGGTCTTCTGAAGCCAGCTTAAAAAGAAGTTTCATTTGTTCTGTTTGGCTGTGGAAGATCTGGGTATATCTGCAAAGGAAAGGAAAAGAGGTTGCTTACATATGCTACAAAAAAATTAGTCAAAAGGGCAGGGGCGGAGACAGGGAAGCAAATGCCAGGGATTTTGTGCATATTCTGCAGCTCCCTTTTACATAGTTTATTAGATCATAAAACGGAACTCTTTGCTAAAATGTGGAATGGAAGTCTGTGCAACTGTAGTGAATTATGACCTCACTTTTTGTGAGGTTGACCCATGGATTCTAGAACACCTTAACTTCATCATTTAACTCAGTGCAGTATCTTGAACATCACTAATGCAGTAGAGTGATGCTTCAAGAAAGCTGGATCAAAACACACTTGGGGGTAAAAATTGTGTGTAATTCTGGTTTTGCAGGTTCTGATCCAAAACCGAGCAGAAGACACATTGTGGGGTTCATCTACCTTTAATTGAGCTAAACATCAGTGTGAAAAGTAAGGCATATCAGGTGCATAAAGCCAACACTTGAATATTTGATGTGAGTTAATCTGTGAAATGCATTGGTGATTGCAGCCAGAACCCACATTTGCTTGAGACAATCACCATGAAAAAATTCAGGCCCATAGCCTCAGGAGGGATGACATAGGACAATTTTGAAAAAGTCTAAAATCAAAATCATTTCAACATTCTACAGCTTCTACACAGCTCTGATAGGTCATGGGAACTGCAGTCCAAATTTCCTGCTTCTCCATTCTGGATAAACTCTAGTGCCCATGAAGCACTGATGTCTCCCTCTGGGTGACTAATATCCATCACAGTGTTTATCAGAAATATATTCCAGTCTCCTGGTTTTGGCTTTAGGAGTGGGCGATTTTGAAAAATCTCTTAATTTGATAAATCTATTAATTCCTTATGAGAAGCTTCTTATCAATTCTCACTCAGCATAATTTTTGGGTTTTTTTAACCAAGAGAATTCAAGTGTTTTAATAGTATGTGCTGTGTCCTCAATACTGTTCCTGCACAGGCAAATGGGTCTGCTTCTTAACCACTGCTGCAAGCCTGGAGCTAGGATTTTCAATGGGGTCTCAGGGAGCTGAATGCACAGAGTTATTTGGAGCTGCACACTTTTGGAAATCTCAGCCGTAGGTCTGCCTGAACTCTACCAGATGGCTCCTGGGAGGCTGTTGTGATCTGCCATAGCAGAGCCTGCTTTATAATCCTGACTCTGAGTCCAAATCCTCTATGTCCAGGAATCAAAGAAAAAAAAAATCTGACTCTGCTGGGAATTCTCCCCAGGCCAGGGACAGTTTTATGCTGTACAAAGGCTTGTAATGTGAAAAGTAAATAAATACTCAGGGAACCACACTATTTACCCACTACATGACCTTTTCCTCAAAAACAAAATGCCACTCAAACAAGTTTGTAGGGTAGTGAAAAACTTCTGAGCTTCAGAAAAACAAGTGATCGAGATATAACTACATAAATAGAATGGTATAGTGAACCTACTGCTTCATTTGAGTAGCATTTACTGCAGAGCAACTACATGCATAAAGCATAAAGTACTGTACAAAAAAGCACACACCATCCTACATTTTTTGTTTGTCATGTCTTTATGAGTTGTATTGTATGCTTCTAGTGATGTTGCCTCTCAGGTACTAAGAAAAGCAATAGTGTACAGTAAATAAAAAGACGTTTTGAGATCATTGTTCTGCTTGATAAGCAAAAATTAGTATAGTCGATTCTTTTGTTGCTTTGCTATCTGTCATCTATGTGTATCAGTCTGGGACAGTCAAGACAGTCACATGAGTAAAATATAGTAACCTTTTCTTCCTCTGTTTCTTTCATTTCCTCAGTAGTTTAAATCTTAATTTAAGAGAGCAAATGACATTTTTCAAGTTATGAATTTAAGTATGGCTCTTTCTGTTCACTCACTTTAGTGTTGTTACTCAACGCATGTGAACAGATTGATTTATTTTCTGGAATTAAAAGAAGAGACAATGATATATGGATTGCATGATCACATATGTGGAGGGTATGATGGTCTGTCTCAGTGTGAAGATGGATATAGAATGAAAACCATCAACAAGTCTCTTCACTTTTAGTGATTACTGGCCAATAGAGATGCTGCAGATGAAACAGCAAGGAGATCAGCAGCCTGCAATGTTGTTTGATACCAGTCAAAGGATCTCAATCTTGGCATTTGGACAGGACAAACAGACTCTGCTGTGAAATGAGACCATGAGCTTTTTGCGGCAGTCCCAGCCGAGTGTCCTTAGCTACAGTATCCTCAACAATAAACACATGATTCTGTCTTGTTGCTTGAAAAATGTGTGCAGAGTTGTTACAAACATCTGTACCCCACAGAGGAAGCCCTCTGAAGGGTCCCAGACACTTCTGGCTGAGGTGTCACTGAGGAGAACTAATAAAGTTGAAGCAAAGAAAGTAAGTAGTGAAGCCACCTGAAAAACAAAAGCCAGATCCTACAGCTTTAAGGGCCACGTTCCCAAGAGCACAGTTGTGTGTTTGTCATAGAAGGCAAACATGGTGGGGATAGAAAGCGTATATGAAGGCTCTGCAAATGCATTTTGTTGGGTTAGGAGCTCCCTCTCTTTTAACACCTTGCATTCCATGCAGTCTCCCACAGGGTGACTGTGGAGCACTTCCTGGGCATTCATTCTCATGATACCACACAGAGGTAAATAAGGAATTGTCACCCTCTTATCACAGATAAGGGGACTGAAAGAGGAAGGTGAGACTTGAGTTGTCCAGTGTCTCAAGGGAACCTGTGCTGCACTATGCAGTACTTAAAACTGCCTGCAAAGTGATGTCTTGGGAAAAGTCAGAGCCTAGATCATCCAGGCCGATAGTTTTCTGTATCTCTTATTCTGACAACCATAATGTAAAAAGCAGCTCTAGAAAAATAGAAAATTAAATGTTGCAGTGACCCTATACTTATGTATCCTATTATGGTATCCTTGGATAGCAGATTCTCAAGCTTAGTCACTGTTAAATGCTGTGTTATCTCAAGATGTTTGCCATTCACTTTGGTCTAAATTAAGAGCTAGTAATAAGCAATGTGTACATATTATGCTTAGAAATTTGATTCAAATTTTAGCTAATATACTGAATCAGCATTGCAGTGGGAACAAGGGTGTTAGTCCCCTCACTGTATTGAAGGTTTGTCAGTTCCAAGTAGAGTATAGGAAAACCTTTATGGGCTAAGAAAACCAGCTTTTGTATCTGGAAAGTGAAGCAATACTTAATTGGCTTGTAGGAGTGAAAAGCATGCCTCCTAAATCAGTTTGTTGAGGGAGTGGAGGGAAAAGCTGGATTGCTTTTGTTTGCTTGTTTGTTTTTAAAGAGGAAAGAGTAATCCTGTTCAGAACAGTTAATTAACTTCAGAAAAGAGGTTAGTAACAAAAGTTAACATGCTCAAAAAGCAAGTATTTTCTTCTCTAATTGACGCAGCATGACGTAGCTTATCTAAAAAGTGAACATCACAAAACTCTGCAGCAAATTGTCAGGATACAGAAGGAAAAAGAGAAGGAGCTTTCAGATTTTTACAGTAAGTTAAATTTCCCCACTTACTTTTATAGACATTCATCACTCTGCTGTGTGTGTTGAAAGCAAGGAAGAAGAGGGAGCAAGGCTTGAAGGATTTGTCTTGCTGAACAACACAGCCTTCTAAACTTAAAAATGTCACGCAGGTTGTCTCCAAAAAAAAAAAAAGGAAACCATCTATCACTAGTCAGCTTGAAAGCCTTAGCCCAGGGGCTATCTTGTATTTCCCAGAAAAATTCCTCAAAGGAAAGGGAATTCTGCAGAGACGGGTCAGGGAAGAAAATGAAAAATGAAACCCTCAATGGGTTTCGAGGAGACTGCTAGACAATAAGTGGCACCAAGCAGTTAATGCATGATCACCCTTTTGAGAGACCCCTGGACTTAAAGACATCCTGTGAAGACCTCTATGAAACTGCTTTCCTGGAGGCAGGATAAATCAAGGGATGTATTTAACTGATGCTGTGCTTTATGTGCTCACTGGGAAGGGGTGGGTCGGGTGGGTCATTCTTGCAAAGCTAATGATCATCCCCTCTCTGTAATCAAAATCAGTCTCCATAGTTGTGATGGACAGTGTGGATCAATTTCCATATCAGACATAAGTCAAAGAAAATAAAATGTTTGCAGTGTTTGGCTTTATTATCTGGTACTTAAAAGCAATTGCTTATCTGGCTCAGAACTTAACTAGTTGCTAAAGCCATGTTTGCTGTTTTCAGACCATGAGACTCCCTGAGAGAAGCAGTTCCTAAAGACCTGAAGTGATTGTATTACTTATTTAAAGAGTTACAGCAGTTATCTGGAGTAAAACAGATATGGTCTGCCTCTTACAAACTAGAAATAAAGAAGCAGTTTAAGAGAACTCTGAAATTCATATTGTAGATATTGAGGTCATAGTGAATGACTTAACAGTGGTATCCCCTTTTTGCTGGCAATGACATTATCTCAGCAAAACAGACTTGCCTTGATTAGCCTTACATTCTAGAGAAAGGTTAAAAATAATTTGGCTATCATTACAGGTTCCCAGGAAGGCAACATTTAAGTAGAAGAGGAAACCTACCACTGAATATGAGCAAATGTCTCACATCAATGTTAAAACCATAAAGGATTTGATTCAATGAAAAGTGATTGTGGACTCTTCATCTTTGTTTAATTCTGTGTTGAAAAAATATTGGGAGCAACTATCTTAGGTCATTGAGAAAGCTATATACGTTAAAAATTTCTAAAACCTGCATAATGAGGGTATAGCACAAGATGTGTGTATTAATATGTTACAAATCTGTAACACTGGGAGATGGTATAAATACCCAGGAAAGTTAATATTTTTGACCCCTTTCACATCTGCATGTTTTCAGAAGGAAACCTTTTAGGGGTTATGAATTTATATTATGAGTTAACCTTCTCTGATCCTGCAGATATCAGGGAATTTTTACAAAAGCACCTACTCTAACATTTTACTTGCTAGTTAAAATCATAACAACCTTACCAAAGACACAGAGGCAGCTCACAAAGGTAAAATGTGACTAGCAGGTCAGCAGACAGGAGAATGGTTGTTAGTCCCTGATTCCTTAAGAAAAATCCTTAAGAAAGGCCATTGTGACTTGTTCTGTACCCAAGAGGAAAAAAAAAAAATTTACAAAGGTGATCTTTACCAAAGGAGGTGGGGAATACATAAATCATTGTAATGGGCACCTTAGCAGACAGCCAGTCAGGATATCTGGATGATGACATGATGTGTACTGCCAGAAACTGCATGGGCTGGGTGAGGAACAAGAAATCTCAGGGACTAGGAGATAAGAAGTGTTTTCCAGTGACCAGTGGTAAACAGGAAGGCTTTCTGTCACACCACAAGGTGGCAGGGAGCACACCTGAAACCCAGAGATCCCCAAGAAGCTGCTATCTCCCTCTTGCACCCTGAAAGGTTGCAAAGCTCTGCTCAGTAGATACAAGGGTTGGGCCTTTCATGACAAGTCAGACTGGATCAATTTTTCAAAGTCACCTGCTTTGTTGGAAAGCGCCGGTTCAGTGCACCCATACTCTGTGGACATTTCATGATGCTCAAAGATGTCCCTTCAAATGCTTTTTCTTAATCAGATGGAGGAGGGAGAACCCAGGTTTGGTATCATCTCCTGTACAGTGATTCAAGCCCTTCAGTTTACTAAAAAACACTCAGAAATTGATTACAATTATTTTGTTTCCAATGAAGCAAAATGTTGCATTCATACCAAAAACTTTTTTTTTTTTCATATGAAAATGCCTTCTTTCCCTCAAAAACACCCAGTCTTTCAAAACTATACATTTAATGTTTTGGTTCAGGCACTGACTGATAAAATCAATTGTTTGCATGGCCTTAATCAAAGCTGAATGGTAAACAGCAAAGGCCTCCCTTGTTTTTATAACCCTTTTTGCTGAATTATTACCATTAATAATTACATTAATGTTTATTATGGTGGTATTAAAAAACCAATTGAGAATAGGTCCTTTTGTGCTTGGTGCTTTTCACGTCTAGAGGAGCAGACAAGCCTCCCTCTTAATAGAGATAAACAAGAGCTTAAAAAGCATACAAAGAGAACAAAGTATTTATTGCTGTTCCCCTTGCTTTGTAACTGGATTCATAGCACATTGATTATAGTGGACTTTGGATGAAGTTCACTTAATATTTCTGCCCTCATTTCTGTATTGTTTGAAAACCATAAAGAAATGTACAACATTTTGCATGGAACTGAAGGATCAGTATAAGAATTATTTGCTTTTAGGAACTGAATATGCACAAAGCCTTTCAATCCATGGATTCTCTTGAACTTAAATTTTATGTCCCTGTCAATATCAGTGGATAAATTTTAGAATTTAAATGCTAATCAAATGCTTTTCATTATCTCCTGTTTACCCTAATGTTACATGAATGAAGAATCATAACTGAACTGCATGTTATCTGTACTTCTGTGTTCTTCTAAAACTTGTTTCTTTAAATTATATTAACATAGCAGCTACTCAGTAAGTCTCCCTTAAAAGTTTCTGTTATATAACTCTTGCCTTAGATCTTAGGTTGTTTCAGGTGAATCCTTAACAATTCTCGATCAGAAATCAATCATTATCCAAAGCAGAGGAAGATTTGAGCAGAAAGAGAAGTAACAATGATGGCATCAGCTGTCAGTCACTCCAATGAAAAGGGAATAGATTTTTATTATCAAAAGCAATAACTTTAATGAAGATATCTGAACTCTTATCAGTCTGAAATACATAATTTAGAAAATTCTTACCTGTTACTGATTGAGAAAAATCACTGCTGTTGCTGCAGATTTCTATCTTGGAAGAAAGAAAGAATGTTGGAGCAGCAAAGTAAGGTCTTCTGTGTCCTAGCAATCCAGAAGAGAATCCTCACTATTTCTGTAGGTTATTTGGGTGGCATCTCTCTCTCTCCCTCCCCCTCTCTCTTCCCCTCTCCTTTCCTCCTTCCCTTCAGTTTAGCCAATGAATTCTGCTTTATGATTATGGTCTGACTTTGAAGTTCTGGCTCCCTCTGCTGTTATACAAATATAGAAATTCTACAGATACTTGAGAGGAATAGCAACTTCAGCAAAGGGCTATGGAGTTATCTGAAGCACAGCATGCACCCATGCTACATGCAAGTGTGTACTCAAATGGAAGCACACTAAAGCAAAGGGACAAAATACAGGAACAGAGCCTAATCCTGTTCTCCTTGCTGAGATTTCTGTAGGCTCAAAGAATTCTGCCTCATATGTATGAAAAGGTTGCCAGTATCAGTTTTCGCAATTTTTCCATTTCATCAGACTATTGACATTTTATTTTAGAAGGATCCAGGCTACAAGTCCTTAAATTGTGAAAGGGCAAGAGGTACACTGTTACTAGGACAAAGAACTCATAAACGTAAGAGCATTGAGAAAGTTGGAAAGAGAGGAAAAGAAGGTTTTGCAGAAGTACCACTTTTCTTTGATTTTTCCCAGGTCTTTCTCATGAAAAATGTCAGAGTTGCAAATTTTTCTCTTACATTGGAAAATACACAAACAGAATACTTCCAAGGGCTATATCTGAGTAACAAAATTTCAGTCTTAACTTAAAGTGGGTTTTAAGCTATGGTCAACTACTTAACTAGTCCAGTGGTTAATGCTATTTATTAATATTTAGAAGGGTTAATGCCCTTCTAAAGGTGTGATAAATAGTTGTAACAAATATGTGTTTTCATTTGCAGCCATGTAGTATGTCACCAGAAATCAAATATTTCAATATCAAAATAAATACAAACTCTTACCAACTAAACTAACTGTGAAAATATTTTTTCATTTGTACTGTATTCTTTCTTTCATTTTTTTCTGGTACCAGATATTACAGATGTGCTTATCTACTTCAAGAGTTAAGCTGACATCTTTCATCATTAGAGAAATGATCAAAGCAGAAGCAGGAATATTTAAGGTCTTTCTAGGGTATTTTGGCATTTCTCATGTTTTGTGATGCTGAGAAGCATAAAACTGGAACTTGTAATGAATGGTATAGGCTGAAAAGTTGTCCTTAGCTACTGATTCTTTGTTCAGGGCATGCTTCAGATGCTTATTTTGTATTACTTACTTTTTCCAGACTCCTTTTCAGGAGCTTTATCTACCAGCTAGTGTGAACCAGCACCCCATATCCCAGCATTTCCCTTTTACCCAGGCACCTCAGAAGGAGATGACCTTTCTGATCTGGTTAGGGAAGAGGACACGAAGTCTGTGCTCCAGCTGAGAAGGCATCAGCCCTCTTGCCAGCTCCTTAGGAAGTAAAAGCTTCCTATCTTACTGGAGCCAGAAAATCTGAAATTATTTATTTAGCTGGCCTGCTCACTTCTGTTTCTTCCTTAATTTATTTATCATTTGTTTATTTGTTCTGCTATTCAAAGCATTTAAGAAAGAGGAGGAAAACCACTAGGAAACAGTCCTTTTACTGAGTGCTTTGATTTGTGAAGCTGTTTTTCTTGTTCCCCTCAGCTTGCAGCATTCTTCAGCAAGCCTTATCTCCACACCTTCCAAACATTTAAAAATATTCTGTGTCACTTTTATTCTCTCAATTCAGACATTTGGACAGAGCCTGCAAACTAAAAAAATTAGCATGTGCTTTCTGCTTAAAGTCAACAGAAAACAGCTGCAGAACTGTTCCTGAAGAACTGCTCAGGGGGCTGCCTCCCAGGGAATAAGGAAATTACCTAGCCACCAATATTTTGCTATGTCTTCTGGGAATTTCTTCTTGACAGATTTTTTAGGATGAACTGCTTTAGTAAGGTTCTGGCCATTTTTTGATGAGGTGAATGGGGCTGCATTAGAATCGTATTACATGCATATTCCTTCCACATCACGTCCAAACTGTAGAGTGAAAGTGCTCACTATTAACAAGCTAATGTGAGAGCAGCACTTGGGTCATTCCAACCCTGCACTAAGTTGTGTAGCTGGGATTTACATGCACACAGAAGCCACTGAGTGTAAGCGAAGAGATGTGGTGTGGTGCGGTAGCTGACTGGACTGCAGCACAGAGGGGACAATACTGGAGCTAGCTTGGAGTGAGAACACCAGCAGCAAGACAAAGATGCTGTTTCCTCATCCAGGTGGATCTTGTAGGTTTAGTTCTGCACCTTGCTGAAAGGGATGTTGGTACCTGAACTGGCTGGTTTGAATCTGGCCATGTTTAATTTCACTGTACAATGGGGACGGTTGAACATGTATCTATGGAGAGTCTCTGTGAGGATCCTGACCCGTTAAGGCTTTTGGAAAATGCACAGATAGTACTTATATGAGGATGCATAAGGGTGGAAATTCCTCTATATGCAGGACACTTGCTGCTGGGAAGGAGCATGGAAGTACTGTAGTCCCAGCTTGTCATGTGCTGGTCAGACTGGCTGTTTCTGTTCATATCAGTAGGTTTGCATTGATCCTAGCAACCAATAGACCAGCCCCTGTTTGCTGTTGATAGGAAATGGAGTAAAGAAACTAACTGGCATGGTATGGGTCTGTACTACTACCCACAGAGCGATAAGAAGGCTTGCTCCCATTCTCTGTCCACAGCACATGCTCCTGCTATGGGAAGGCACTGGGTAACTGTCCTGTTTTCTCTGCAGTTTGTCACATAAGACAGTTGGACTCCATGGAGACAATGAGTTTCAAGAGGGTACAGGTGCATGGGGAAATAGTCCTCTCTGCTCTGACCAAATAACTCCTTCCTGCACATGGTTATGGTGAGAACAAGACCTCTACCAACAAACATTCATTGCGTGCAATTAAACATTTCCCTAGGGGTGACAGGCTTGTCACAACAGTGGGATTACAGCTGCCCTCTGGATGCTTTGAGGGTCTCCTTCAATGCTCTTGTGTCAGATTTTCTGCCATATCAGCCTTCATTGATGGAGTCCTGATGCTCTGTCTCTTTCTTTCCCTTGAGCATGGAATTTCAGAGGTCAGTTCTCCTACAGTACATCTAGCAAATCTAATTGTGGTCCAGCATCTGGAGTCCTGCTCTCTTGGCACTGTTAAACAGTGAGCAAACAGTGTCCACAAAGAATATTATTAGGTACTCAATGATAAAAGCATATGGAGAAAATGTACCATGGAAGAGTACATAGTCTATGTGTATGCTAAGCTTATCAGGTGTACGTGGCCGCCTTGTAGGTATTTTGCACAATTTAGGTTTGACTTTATTTTGCCAAAATCTCTACCTCTCTCTGAAGCAGAATTGATATTTTAACCATTTTCAGCCTTCTCCAATTTGTTCATAAAACTCCTTCCATGGGGGAAGCTATGAAAAAGATGTATCTTCCCAGGGATATTTTTGAACTGCCTAAATGATGTTTAAGCCTTCAGGAAAGACGCCCTGTTACTCAAGGTCCCTAGACAGGCCCTTATAAATGCATCTATCATTTAGGAAGTTGATAACATGATCCCTTATATCTATGCCTGTATATCTATATTCTATATCTATCTCCTTTTATCTATCTATATCTATATTTATAACTATATCTATATATCTATATATAACTGGGTGAAATCCTCTGGTCCACCCTCAGCAAGTAGAAAAGTGATGGCCTCTCCAGTGTCTGCTACTCACAGGTTGGAAGGGTCATAGCCAGCTCCAGTGATGTCCACTCCATTATTCCCAAGAAGCCACAGGGGGATAGTGCCAAATGGAGTTGCTACTAGCCAGTTCTAACTAATCCTGAAGGCCGAAGATTTAAGAAGCTACAGTTGTATTTCTCATTTTACCTGCTTCCTAGAATCACCGTAATGACTTTATGGTAGTATCTGGAGCCATGGATGGGTTTTCTTCTAACCATTGGTAAGCTGTTTTCCTTAGTATGTGCAGGTTTTCTAATTGTATGCTCTCAGCATAACATTTGAAAACAGACTATGTGACCGTGGCTTTCCACAGTAGATATTAAAAAGCAGTTGTTGTTTCCATCAGTTCAAATATTTCATTGTAATACACTTCAGCAAGGTAGAGGAAAGGCAGATAACGAAAACACCTATGATGTCAGAGTTGAATAAACTGTACTCAAATGATTTATCTGGGCCTTTTAAGCTCTCTTGTTATAATTGCTTTTAATATTGTCTAAATATGTTTTATAAGATATTTCTCATATAAACCACTTTCATGAACTTCGTACCAGGCACAGTGTAGTGTCTAAAGTCTACTGGCTAAACATGTTTTATAGTCCAGGTTTTCTGTACAAACAGCTTTCACGAGGTTGTTTGTCAGTGGACTTTGGTCCCAACAAGATTATTGCAGAAAATTCTACCCCATTATGGAAGGCTACAGAGCTATTTATATGGCATTTCTTTGCAGTAGGTTGGACTCTCAGGCATGGGCTTGCTTTTTCTGCAATATACCAGTCATCTTCTGGAGAATATATTCCTTTGTGTATCTGCACTTCTGGATTGACCCACACGAGGCACCAGGGTGGGGAGAGGCTTTCAAAGGGCTGTTTTCTGCTTTGTTTCATCCCGTTCTTCTAGTATACATGTCCTTGGGGAAATGTCAATGAGCATAATAGCATAATAAATCCATTTGTCTGGCAACAATTTATATAATACCTGTTACTCTAAAAGCTAGATGATTTTCAAAACAGTAATTGGATTTAGAAACATTTACAGACACCATGAATTCTTCTGCTTTCAACAAGACCAATCAGTGACTACTTAGAAGGAAAACCAGTGATTTGACATAAGTGAAAATTTATTTAACTCTGGATCCCAACAGGAAAAAAGTCACAAGTTTATTTGTGGTAAAGCTTGGTTACAAATGTTGTGTTTTAAGACAAACCACCTAGTGTCAAAAATGAGATAGATGTGGCACTATTAGAGCTGTGAAAGGCAATAGGCAAAACCCTTCCTCCTGAAACCATGTTGCTTTACTGCTTTCCTCTAAAGAAAAGGTCTGGAGCATGTTCTATTTCTGGGATAGGTGTGGAAGAGGAGAAATACATCACGTGGTCTTAACCAACTCCATTGTAGACTTTGCAGCTTATGTCAGGATTAGTCTTCTTCACCACTCGGATAGAACAGCTTTTCTTGTGGAATAGGCCAACACAGCTCACCCTGTCATAGTTCTTGGGGATTAAAACCCTGTAATTGAGAAAAGCAAAGAGAAAATAATCAGTCAAGACATGGACTGAGAAGGATGCTTACTGAGCCACAGCCATCCTGCAGCAAGATACATCATGGATCGATTTGGCTCATGGGTTCCATTAATACAAGTGGTGTGAATTATCATAGGAGGAGCACAGAGCCCTGATCATGGCTCTTAACAGATGAAGTGACTTCCCAATGTTTTTCTGGTTTAAATGCAGGTCTCACTGGTCATTTTGTTAAAAATTGCTGTAAATTCCTGCACAGAGACAAACCAGGAATTGGTTCTGTTTTCCTCATTCAAACTAAGACTTTCTTGATAATAACAAACAATTTAGAATGCTGAATCACCCCAGCCTGAATACTTTCCAGCCAAGCCTCTTCTCAGCACAGGCTGACTCCCTACCTCCTATAGCTGAGGACAGCCAGGAATATTTCCCACCAAGAGTTCCTTGGGTTGCATCCTTTCTCACAGACCCTTTATGGGACTCTTTCTCCCTCACCTCAAAAATAATTTTTCGAGCCTTTCTGGGGAAATGATCAGCTCACACTATATTCAGGAAGACACAGCTGGCCTTAATGTGTCACCTGCCATCCATGAGGCAGGAACACACAAGATTAGGAAGCAAATTATTAGAGCAGGGCATGTGTGTCCTGCTTTGATAAGCAAGAAGGGTTTGCTCTTGGCAGCATGGGAAGGATGTGGAGCTGCTCTGGCCTGATTAGATGCTTGCAGGCAGGCCACTGGTCTGACAGAGCTGCAGAAGCCCACACATATGTGTGTCTGGGGTGTTTAGGTATCTGGAGACAAGCTGCTGAATAGAAGGAAGAAGAAAACAGAGGCTAAAGGAAAACATACACCCAGTTATTGTCAGAATCAAAAGAAGGACTAGGTGATGAGGAAGAGCTATGTATTGGAAAGACCCTAATTGTGTTTCATTTTTGTTTCTTCCCAAAGAAGTCTATGTGATTGCAAGATGATTCTGCTTTTTCAGGATTAGAGCTAACTGGGAAATGGGAAGAGGAATTTTGTTTATGTAAGTATGAAATTCTAATGCACAGTCTGAATATTTCAACTAGTTCCTGAATAAGCAAATAATAATTTGGGTAAACTTACAAGCTGCAGCAAATCATTGCAGTCATCTTACACCTGCACTGGTAACAATCTTCAGTCTTCCACACAGCACCAAAAACATAGAGGTTTCTGTTTGAAAGGCACCCTGCATGTACACACCAAAAATAATAGTCAGTAGGTCAATATCACTAGACACAGTCTTATGTTTGTGGACTAGCAATCAAAGCAGTGATTTCTGTAGAGTCACACCAGTGAAGAATCTAACCCAGTGCTCTGCAGAAAAGATACCATGTCTTTGCTTCTGAAGTGTGCATGGGTGTATGACGTGGCATGACAAAGGAATAGCAACCACATACCAAAGAAGTATTATTCTTCTATTGCAGTGGATCTGAGAAATGCCTGCGTTTATGGTTACAGTAGGATCTTTCTGCCCTTTCTCATATTCAAGATACAGGTCTAGACTTTAATTTCTCCCTTCTTCCTTCTTCTCAATTCTTATTAGACTTCAACTTGTTGTGCTAAACTGAATTTCAACACCACATATGTTATCTTTGCTTTGCTTTTGTTGCCAGGTACCTCCTCAGGTTAGCCAGCACTGCTTAAAAGTACATGGGTTTTGCCACATGGGCAAAGGCTTCAGTTATACATCAGCCCAGAGGGTAACTATTGAACAGGATAGAGTCTCTCTCCTTGTTTCCAGAGATGCCTCCAAGTAGGTTGATCCCTCACTACACAGCTGTTTGGGTCATTCCTCAGCAAAGAATGTATTATACTATTCCAACATTTCTAAAAAAAAAAAAAAAGACTTTGAGTCTCTGAATTAATGCTTCAGGGATGTCTAATATATTTGACATTCTTACCATATTTGCTTGCTGGTCTAAAGTAACAGCGAGCATCACACAGAGTCCTTGAGAAGAGAAGGATCAAGCAAAAGAACAGCAAGAATTTCTAGAAAAGAAATAAGAATCTTTCTTTAAAATTAGGTGGTTTTTTTCCAGAAAGTCTAGCAGACTAACATGCACAGAATTAAGGACCAGTCCTGCTATTCCCTATAAACTCAGATTAAAATATACTTCCAGTGCACATACACACACACAGAGACTCACACATACACACACTGTAAGCTGTTAACTTACCATACTTGCATGGGCTGCTCACATTTCATAATGAGGAGTAGTGCATATTTATATACAGTGAGGAAACAATGGTCAATGCAAAGGGAGGTGATGTAAATGTGAGCACCTCAGGTGCCAGTGGACACTCTAACCTGTTCCGATCATCGATCAGAAGGTGGCACCTCAGAAAGTCATGCAAAAGCTTGTTTTGTGCACTGATGTACATTGGCATCTTGATCTCCATTGTGCTGGTGTAAAGCTGAAGAAACACCAGTAGATAGACTAGTTACTCCACATCAGTACTTGTGACAGTGGAAGAGTCTGACCCCCCGAAAGCCATGCCTCCAGAACTGGCAGGCCATCAAGGAACAGTGGGGAAAGGGCACACGCTAAGCAAGGCAGCAGGGCACTATTGTTCGGCTGACCTGCTACCAGGAGATCGCCCCCAGTATGGAACAAGCCATTCATACAGTGCAGTGGTGTGGAGAGTCCACTGTTCTCAGACTGATTTATTATAATTTCAATTATTTCATATGAGACATGTTATATTGTCCATATTTAGCGACCTGCAGGAACTAGCTGTATTTTTGTATCTCTCAGTTGCTGAAGCAAAGCCAAGCCTGGAGAACAGAGACAGATCACCAGGACTAGACAGCACCTTTTTGGCAGCAGCAAAAGTGAGATGAGATGCACATTGCCTCAGTTTAAAATCAAATGTATCAGTCACTCATAGCTCCCTTCCTGACAGCAACAACATTAATGCTAAGGATTGAGGGAGGCAAAGAAAGAAAAAGTTCTAGTATTCTTTCACCTCACCACGTGCATGCCCTGCCTCTAACACAGCTGTAATCGGACACCAACAGCAGTGTTGTTTCTGCAACACTAAAATGAGGACATTTCTATCAATACACATCTTGTTGCAAGGGTCCAGGTCTTTGTGCCATTAGACCGTTGCAACACATAGTATGTGAGGTTGCATCTCAAAATCACAGGAAAACTAACACAAATACTTGGGGCTGCATCAGGGGCTGTAAGAATTCAATAGTTTACTGAAGTGGAACATAGACATAACAAGTATTAAAAGTTACCAGAAGATTCCCAGCATAATGAGCTGCATTAATTCCATTAGCTTGGCTCTTTCAGCACACCTGGGTTTAATTAGACACCTTGATTGATATGGCTGCACTCATTAGCTTCCACTGATTGACAAATAGCTAGAGGAATCAAAGCTGCACTAGAAGTGGTTTTGGGATAAAAGGGCCAGTGGCAGAATGAGTGCAGTCTCTTGAGGGATCTGGAGTGCAGGGGTAGTCAAGAAGGTGGTGGTTGATGTTTACTGTGATAGAAGATCTGATTTATGTAAGTTCTGTTTGTTTGTATGTACTTAAGAAGAGGCTTTAGAGCTTTTGTTATGCTTTGCAGTGCAACTGTCAAGGTTTGTGTTAACCTTGTCATTTTGGTAAATTTTGCTGTCTGTGTGTGGTTCTGCTGCATGAAACAGTTGTAGTATCTAACAATGTGGCTTGAGAAAATACTCCTTAGTAATCCTTAAATGAAATAGTTCACAAAAAAAAATGAATGCTCAGAACTACTGTTAGTGATTATAGGCAACAAGGTAAAAATATGATGTAGCTCTTACGCTACTAAACATTTAAGTGCATGATGTGAATTTGGTTTTATTTTAATTGAAACTATTTGATTAGAGTTTAGTGTAACTAGAGGCCAGACCCACTTCTGCCCTGTCCCTGCTGTAACTCTTGACAAATCTTGTGCTGTTTCTTGAGGAGAAGTCAGTGTTCTAGTGTATAATATCTTCAATAAGAGAGTATAGCTGCAAGGAAATGTAACAAGCAACTTCTGACTTGAAGGGCATGATGGATTTTAAATTATTTTCTTAAGAAGATTAGTTTACTTAATTAGTTAATTATCCTTTATTCCTTGGAGAGAAATAACTATTAATAACTTTTTTATAATTCTTGCTCTTTCTCAGGTAGACAAATGCATAAAATAGGAAACTAAAGTGTTTCCTGTGACCAAGGCTGTTGTTGATAGAAATGCCTGCTGCCTTGACTTGCTTAATCTGAAGTGTCTATTAAAGCATGTGTGCATATTTTCCTTAAAAAGAAAAGGGGGGTGTGGGGGGGGTGTGGGTGTGGTGTGTCTTATGGTATCTTAGGTTGCATACTTGAGAATGAAGAAACTAAATGTTTATGAAAGTCTATAATACTGAGTTATCTATGGGATCTGTAGTAGAGCAGGAGCTGAACCTGTCCATGTTCCTGTTGACTTGCTTGGAACTTTCCTCTTGAGACAAAAGGTTTTCTAAGTCAAATGGGTAACAAAGGAGTAGAGAGGAGTCTCTGTTTTGCAGATGTAAATGAAATTACCTTCTGGGGCTGCAGTATTAGTAAGTGTCCTCTGGGGGTTCCTCTGTTAAGGGAAGGTTAAGTTGTCCTAGCCTAGCTTGCCTAGCTGATGGCTGTAATGGGTGAGAAGGTTGAGTACCTCTGAGACAGCAGCTTGCTCCTTTCTGCCCATATCTTTTCCCATGGGGTCTATTGTGCTGGAGGGGCTTGCAGCCCAGCTCCAGACATACTGACTTAAGTTAAACAACTTCTGTTACTGTCTGTGGGGGTAGGACAGCAGTTAATATATGGGTCTCCTCAGCTTGAGGTCCATGAAGCAATGAGAGGAATGTCCAGCACTGCCTTCCCCTGTTTATCTAGCTTCTGTGTCTGTCACGGAAGCTGTCAAACTAGACTTGGCAAATAATGTAGTGGCTTGGCTAAAATAGTAACTCTGTGCCAAGTCAAGGAGGCAATTCTGTCCTGAGAAGCTTTTGCCAATAAAAGGATTGAGTTTTCTGAGGCGATATCTGGAACTGAGGGGTATGGGCTGTGGTCTGGATGGTGGCTCCAGATCACCAAGTCTCTGGCTAGGGTATCAATTCCATAATTTGTTTAAAAATTGCTCACACTGAAAATACTTCTTCAGTGGCTTTAGACATGATCTGCTGTATGTCTATTGCTTCGCTTTGTGTTTCCTGATTCAAAACTAGATCAACATACTGCTGAACACTCCAGTGGGCTTCAAAATTGGATTAAAGAACACAAAAATCTGTCCTGACTTCAAAATGGTTCGTGTCAATTTGTTTTAGAGAGGGTAGTAAGGGAAACTGATGTTCCTTCTGGCTCAGGCAACTAATTGCCTCCATTTTTAGCTGAACTCATGGGAGTGAGCCATTAGGTAGGACCCTATCTAATGTGTGTGCAACTCTTAGGAAATCAAATGCACTTCATGAAACTTTGTATTTTTCCCAAAAGTACCACCTGTGTGACCTGGCCCTTGTCAGTGATAATATAGTTTGCTTTTATATATATATATATAGATAGATAGATAGATATAGATAGATATATAGATATAGATAGATATATAGATAGAGATAGATATATAGATAGAGATAGATATATAGATAGAGATAGATATATAGATAGAGATAGATATAGATAGAGATAGATATAGATAGAGATAGATATAGATAGAGATAGATATAGATAGAGATAGATATAGATAGAGATAGATA